TGTCTAACAAACAGAACGGGGAATCCTCAGCCTTTGTCGGCCCCATAGATTACTGTATCTGTGTACTGGTCGCCCCGCAGCGGGGATTCCCCGCAATAGCAACGCAAACTAATGTTACTAGACTGAATAAAAATATATAGTTATGTCAATAATATCGATTCATGATATTGAAATTTTTTCGGCGCGTTTAAACGAGCATGCGGCTCACCTGAAGTTAAGTGACTACCGCCGCCCATGATCAACCGCAACACCAGGGGAATTGCAGGTGCGTTGTACAGTTTAGAAAGGAGTAAGCTCCTTTCTTGAAGGTCCCCAGGTCGTATCGGTCGGAAAAATCGCCGGTGGTAAACTATTCCACAGAGAGGTCGTACGCGGAAGAAAACTCCTTGTGAAACGTACAGTGGTGGACCGCCAAGCATCCAGATGGTGTGAATGGTATAGGGACGTTTGCCGCGTAGTGCGTTCACGAAATTTGGCGGCTGCGATTAATCCGAACAATTAATTAATGCGAAAGAAAATATTAAGAAAATTGCGTTTACGGTTTTAAGTAATGCAATAACCTCCAGGGCGCGAGGCCCCCTGGATCGCGAGGCCGTAGGCGGTGGCCCACGTCGCCCACGCCTTACGCCGCCTCTGGTTCTGGTTCTGTTAAACTATCGTCAAAATCTCCTAAAAACTTCCCTATGTCGCGCTTCAATAAAAAAGTTATAGTTACAGCCAATATTGCGTCCCACTACTGGGACACAGACGTCGACTAAGGGGGTTTTGCTCTAATATATTGGGAAAATGTTTGTGAACAAAATACAGAGATTAGGCTGTATTAAAGGTAGTAGATGTATTAAAGGTTGTATATATAGCGCATAGCGCCGTATTATAGCGCGCTATTTTACATACCGCATAGCGCGCGTGTAAGTAGGTAACCGCTACGGCACTATGGTGCCGTATAGGCACAGCTTTTAATTATCATCATAATTACAGATCTTCACAAATCCACGGCAGAGCATAGGCCTCACACAAGAAATGCTATAAATCACGGTACTTAGCCACCTTCATCCACACACTTCCAGCATCTCTTACCAGGCCGTCACTCCGTCTACAGCTACCATTCACTTCGAATGCCGGTAAGAGAATGCCACTCGAGAACCTGTCTTCCTAACTAGACGCAGCCTTCGCTGTTAAATAATTTAAGAAATGACTTCCAGCGCTTTAACTATTATGACCATTACAGAACTCAGAAAGTTTCTTTAAATATACTTACATTTCTACTCCAATCAAAAAAAAAAAAACTAGAGTTAAACACCTAGAATAGTAATAATCAAGCTTCATGACGAAAACATAAAGAATATAAACTAAGAATATCCAATACCCCATATCACATCGCGTGGGTGTCGAAAGAGGTGACCAGTTTTGTTTTAACACTTAGTTTTAAAAATACTCTTTTACTGTGTGCCACGGAAATTACACCATTTTTGTTTTATCTGTAAACGCGCCACCGATCGCGCGGTGTAAATGGCGGCGATATCTTTGCTTTACAGTTCATTAATAAAGTACCATTATATATTTAAGTACCTTTTGAACTTTCCATTCGGAAGTTGTCGTATGTAACGTAAATATTTCATATTCGAAAATCACTGGGAGCAAATGTTCTTTGTATATTCATATATGTGGTGCTCACTGAAAATTAAATGTCTTTCTGCGTTTAAAATAATTACAACCCTTAACCTTTCCCTTACTGCGCCCGCCATAACAAAAAACAGCTTTGTACGGCGGCCTCTGTCATCACCTCAGCTGGCGGCACTTGTTTTAAATATTTATGTTTCTCACGACCTTTCATTTATGCTTAAAGAGGTTTTACTTACAGTTATTTAAAGCCGATAAGATTTTCGATAAGTAGAAACAATAACCATAACATTTAAATGTTTATTTTATTATTTTATTGCTCTTTGTTTCTAACGGATCTTGATAAAGTGTACTTACTGACAATAAATTTTGTTTTATGAATGAAATATCGTAAGTTTTTATTTTATTTTTATGTTCTTACAATCAATACAACATATTCTTCCTAAATGAATCAAAATTATGCATGTAATAATTATAATAATTCTACTTTTTCACTTGCAAACATTTGCTAAAAATTCGACAATAGACAGTTTGCGCGCGCTTTGTAACCTCATTTCAAAACCTTTTTGTGTATATATTATAGCGTCTTCCTTTATTTTTCTTATACAGTCATATAGATATAACATTTGGCAATAATATGATATCCTTATGAATATATATACATGCAATAAACTATTTATAAAAAGGCTCAATGTCTCAGAAGGTACATAATTCATTATAAACCAATAAGGTTTAGTTTCAATGAAATTTGTGTATGATGACCGATTTTTATCGCTCAAATAATTCTTATTTCAATTAAAAGATGAAATTCTGATTTCAATGACGTAAATTACAACTGCACTTATCTTACAAAAAATTATCGTAAAACGTTTACAAAGTTTATGTTTTTGTCATATGCGTCGCTCTATTACATGTTCGCGCGCTTGTGTAATACACGGTTCTTTGTTTATATAGGTAGATAGGTATATAATCAAAGACGGTTGTATACAACGTGTTCTATTTTTGCACGGAGTTATTAGATTTTTAGTGCAAAGTAAGTGTGAGTGTTTGTATGGTGTCTCTAATATGTTGAGGTTTTTTCGAATGTTTTTAGAAGATATGCAGTTTTAGTATGTTATGATAAAATGGTAGATGAATAATAAAACTGTCTAGAAAAATCTACATCTATTATGATATAAAGAATTTGATTATAAAAGGTAATCTCAGAATTCTGTGACTACATAGAAATACATATATATTAGGCGTACAAAAAAAGTGACAAAATGCAAGTTGTATAGGGTAAAAATTAAAGTTACTTAAGTTTTGAAAGTATATTTTTATTTTTCACTATTACAAATAAAAAGTTATAATTAAATAATATATAATTTTTATTTATTTATTTGGTTAACCAACAAATGTTACATTATTAATACATATGCTTAATTCTAAGACAGTTATATAAACTAAGTGCACATTCAATAATAGGTAAACACCGCATGCTTAGTGCTCACAGCATTTCTTACAAGCCGTTACCAAATAGCTAAAAATATACCTTACAAACTTAAAATAAAAAATAAAACAAAATTATTAAATTAATACAAAACAAAAAAAAATTGCTTATAACAAACATTAATATTTTCATTAACTTTGTGCCGAAAAACGTTAAAAGAGTCGTGGTGAATATCTACTACATTATTATAGGTATTTAAAAGTCTGCAAAGTCTAGGAATTAAATCCTAGCACATTTCTACGAAGAGGCGGCGAGAGAGGAGGAGATCAATTTACGAGGATATCTACTTGGGATAAGTAAAGTGTTTTAGCCTTCACTGCCTTAATGCGTGTTGGCGAACTTTACATGTCTTCGAAATATTTTTTTCTTATATCTCAGAGATGCAGGTTTCCTCACGATGTTTTCCTTCACCGCCGAGCACTTGGTAAATCAGCACTTAAAATTGCAATTAACAATTTCATTGCTGCCGGCGGGGATCGAACCCGGTTTGATCGCGTACTGTGAAATTTACAGTGAGCGCTCTAACCATCTGAGCTACTATGGCTCTCTACTTGGATCTACTTGGGATACGAAAATTAAATTTACGTAGTAATAAAGGGCAATTTAAGTTATTTCTGAATATTTTAGTTGCAAATCCAGAATGTCCCAGCGTTTTGACAGTGAAACCATTTTGAATGTCTTTAATCTACATATGATGCATTTTTATATGCTTTTCGTGTTGAAAAGGCAAAATGCCATAAAAATCTTTTCTGTATGCGCTCAAGGCGAAGGTCATGGGTAGAATAATAGGAACGCCAGACTGTGCTACAATATTCTAATATACTTCTAACAATTGAGAAGTATAATAGTTTTTTTTTGTATAAAATACTTTACTATTTTTTATAACAAAACCTAATGACTGAGATGATCTTTTAATTACACTTTTTAGTTGTGGTATAAATATAAGCTTTTTATCGAATACTGTAGTATTTGTAGGACCTAGGTGTACCTAGGTCCTTAACAGTCTCCACTTCTTGGGTAACTCCACTATTGAGGGTATAAACTGATGGGAAAAAATTATTTTTGCGCGTGAATTTAATATGTACACATTTTTTTTCACAATTACAAATAAGAAATAATCACAGAACATTATTATATTATACAATTTACATTACAATTTATAATTTGCATTATTTATATACCGGTGAAGGACTACGTCTAAGTTCCATAGGTCATCACTGGCAACACACACTGGTTGTACAGTCTCGTTTTCAAGTTTTGAGGTATAGATGGAGTGACGACCTGGTAAGAAATGCAGGAAATCTATGGACGTGCTTTGTGGCATTCCTTGGGGAGGTCTATGTTCAGCGGTGGACTTGTGAAGGGCTGTAATGATGATGATAACGATGATGATATATCGGGTGACGGGTCGCTCACTTCTCTCTAATATAAATATAATCAATATATATTCTTTATTGTACACCAATACACATTAGAACGAGACAAAATGAAATAAATATATACAAAGTATAATAGGCGGTCTTATCGCTCTGGAAGCGATTTATTCCAGACAACCCTTATTTAGCAAAAAAACTTACAGTGAATTGCTAATAGGGAAGGTGCACAAGTGTTATATATTTATATATATTAGAGAGAAGTGAGCGACCCGTCACCCGATGGTACTCATGCACGACACTCAACAATCACACAGTTCTATCACTCTTCCGTGTAAATATGTATAGAGAAACAACATCCTGCAATGTAAAAAATTTCGTATTAGTATTTTAGTCTCTAGTAGAAAGTTGTTTCTCAGTTACAAATTTTCCACGGTGTGGTAGTCCTCCCAACATTTCCCTAAACATAACGGGACTTGGCACAATTTGCACATAACTGTGACCACAACCCGTTTTTTTTAGAGCAGTGCACCGAACACAACGCAATTGCTTGCGATTCTTTTTTCCCGGCCTCGAATCAGCTTCTGTATAAATAGGGAAGTGATTCCCCAACGAAGTTCCAAACGAAGAACAAGCCGTTGCAGTTGATTCGGTACTCTGGGTGGCACCGAGGAAACGCGTGGGTATCGGCTCAATAGCCCTTCGGCGACCTTCAGCCTAAACTGGCGGTGGGAATACATGCGATACATGGGGTTCCGCAAATAAATAATGAAAGCGTTTAAAAGACTGGTGTTTAACAGCCTTTTAAACACTTTCATGTACCATTTCCGGTTTCTTTTCCGTTCTAATAAGAACATAGACAACTTTTGATCTTTCAAGTCTACGCCTCCCATGTATCGGTTGTACTCCTGAACCACTGTTGGCTTCAGGACCGCCTGTCCAGCACGTCTTCCCGGTACCATCTCATGTTGGTGGTAGGTAGACAAAACGGTGACAAGTTTGACGTCTTTCCACGCCACCAACGCGATGTCACCGCAATGTCTACCTACAGACACCCCACGCTCCAGCTGCTTCGGGTTCAAATCCTTTATAGCATGTGGTATCCCCTTTCGCCGGCGGCTTATCGTGCCCAATACATCTGTACACCGGCTTTTAAGATATCTCGTTAAGAGCAATTGGTTATACCAATTGTCCATAACGAGAACATGCCCTGTATCCAGGTACCCCTCCATGAGCCGTAAGACAACCTTCGCGGTTTTGTCATTAAAGCCATGTAAGGGTCCGGGATACATGGCAGTATTTTTGCCTGTGTACAGCCGGTATTGGAGCAAGTAGCCGGTTTCAGCCTCACAAAGCTCAAAGGATTTGATTCCGAAGCGAGCAGCTTTGGTCCGTACACTGCCTCCAGCTTAAACGACCCTTCCATAAAAGCAAGGACTCGTCTAAGCTGAGGTACTGAGACGGTGTATAAATTTCTGCAAACTTTCGGTTGCAGTGGTCCACTACCGGCGCAATTTTTTCCACTTTGCGTTCATATCCCCTACTTACCAAATTTTCATTACTCACAAAGTGCAAAAATTTGGTAAGTAGCAGGAATCTAGTCCGCGACATAATTTTGCGGAATGAAGGCATTTCCAAGATTCCCGTGTCCCAGTATTCGTGAATTTTGGAACGATAGCAAAAAGATTAATAAATTAGCACGGCAAAATATCTATACAGCTCTTCAACCGTGGTATCGGTCCAGGAATCCAAGTAATTTGGAATCCTACCACCAATATCAGGGTCGGAGAGCTGAGAGATTATTTCACATGCATATTCATTTGTCTCTCTGACAATGGTCTCCATAAATTCACGATCCCAGATCTTACAAAAGATAGCGGTGGGATCTTGGGAAGAAAAAGTTGGGCCGGGCACGCGCAAATACGTTTCCTTCTGAGCCGTAAAAGATGTAAAATCTTCCGACCAGAATAAAGTCGTATCGACAGGTGCAGCTGCTCCAGAGCTCCCTGTCATTCCTCCCATTTCTCTCCTTCCATTCGCATTCTCTATTCTTTCATTCTCTGTTCTTTCGTCTTCCATCAATGCCTCTTCATTCTCATTCTCTCTCGCTCTTTCCTGCACATTCACATGCCATTCATTCTCTTCTTCATTCTCGTCATTTTCACACTCTACGGCACTCCTCGTATCAATTTCATCACACATTACCAAATCTTCATCATCATCATCCTCAAACATATTTCGCTGATCCCGGACATGCACGTTTCGTGAATTGCGGGCTGCTTGGCGAAGACGAACAAAGTCCGGGATATCAATGTCACCTTCACCGCCCTCTTCATCGTCATCGTTTTCGCCGTCGCTGCCTGAGTCCTGAAGAATTGCCGCAATTTCTTTCAGGTTCAGGGCGCGACGGCACCTTTTCTTACCACCCGCAGCCTCAGGAACTAACGATGACGGCGATGCCATTGTCGGGGTAGAGGCAGGTATCCAAGGCTAAAAAGAATAAAGCACATTAGGATACCATATTTTTACGGAAATATAAAAACGCAGAACTTGGTCTTTTTGCGAAGTACTTACACGAATGCGTTCGCTTGATGACGCTTGGTACAGCACTGGATCGCCTTGTGTGCGTACCGTGCCTTCTGGCGTTACCACGCAAGGATAGCACGGCAACAGGCGACCTTCCGGCATCCCACGGCTCGGCCCGGCAATGGCATCGTCATGCTGACGTTTCGACATTATTCTAATAAATAAAAAAAAACATGTATTATATGCAAAATAAATTCCTCAAAATCGGTTAGTGGAGCTGAACAAAAATTCTTAGCCTTGAAAGTTCTCATCCTATTATATAAATATATATATATATATATATATATATATATATATATATATACTTATAATTGCAATTAACAATTTCATTGGTGCCGGCGGGGATCGAACCTGGGTACTTGCGTACTGTGAAACTTACAGCGAGCGCTAATCATCTGAGCTACCACGGCTTGCTTTATATACTTAAAAAAATTATGGAAAATAAAAATAAACTAACAAAACATACTTTTTCTTCATTCTTTTATATCATCACTTATAAAAAAAATTATGAAGGAAACAGAAAAGGAACAGCTTTTATCAATAAAGTACTGGACAGTCAGTTTTGAACGCACGCACACATACAAAGTCACTGCGTATGTGTGAGTGTTGAATTAGACCTTTCGCGAATTTTTCGAAGAAAACAACAAAAATATAAAATATAACCAAAACTACTAGTATATATAAATTCTACTTGATTTTTCCTATAAGTAAAAGTATTTACTATGGTATTCGAATAAGAAATATACTATTATTATCTTATTAGAAATCTTGACCGTTATGAATTGTTCGCGTAGAGGTTTTTTGTTTCTACTTTTTTATCAATTGAAATATAAAAAGTTACTGTTGTTGTAACTTAGATCATTCAAAAACATTACGTAGTAAAGATAAATAACATTACTTACCGTTTTTTGAAAGAAAATCCAACTAAAATCACAATCACAAAACTTCAACGATTACACAACTAACAGCAACAGCAGCTGATTTTGTCTATGTAACCGAGTGAATATAATTCTTCAGAATATTCTTTAGTTCGTTCAGAATCGAATGAAATAGTGTTCAATTAAAAATATACTGTATTTTTATATCAATTAAGACGAAAATAGCAGCACGTAATGCGGACATGAATACATGTCCGCGGTACTCAACGGTGTATACCGTGGACATGTCAACATGTCCACGGTACCTTAGGGGTCGCCACGGTTGGTAAACGGTTAGGCGATCGCAGTAAAAAAATACATGTGGCACTCGGGGACTGCCGTGGTAAAGCTATTGCATAATATTTTTGTCAACTTATGCAATTATAATTATTTATTTATATAGTATTTTTATTTGTTTTTTTCTTTGATATTAATTCAAGTTACAGCAGCTATTCTACACGCATACGTCTAGTCGCACGCACACAAACACCGAGCCGAAGTCTGCCGAACTGAAGCGACGTTACGGCGCCTCTACACGTTGGCCAACACAGTGGCGAATGTAGTGGCCAATAGCATTGGCCAACGTGTAGACGGGGTGTTTGGGCTTCATTGGTATGTATTGGAACGATGGCCCACAATTTGGCGCGAGATCCATGTGGTGTCGGTTTTTTACAAAAGATCAAAGGATTGTTGGCAGAGTTTGGTCGCCGCGTCCACACGTTGGCCACGAGTTTAGTTTGCTACAAGCTCCCAGAATGATTACACGCATCTGATTAAAATTTTATATTCACGCTTTGTAGGGTGGATGGCCCAATTACCAGCCTTTTAGTGCCAATTTCAACTTTAAACATTCCTACTACTTTAATTAGCACGATTCAATTATTTTTAAACATTTGTTTTAATCGATAAGCTATTTATAAAAAAAAGAATGAACATTTATTTACAATCAGATTATTACGAGAACAATTTTAAAATGAAAAAAAATGAAGCACGTCGTTTATACGTGGTAGAACCACGCAGTTATATTAAAAGTATAGTTGTAGCACGAATGGGTCGGTTCGACCGGGGAAGGACCACGCTCTCACAGAATATCAATGTAAAATAGTAGCTTAATGATTGTGTGTTTCGTATAGTGAGTGTAGAGAACCAGAGACACTTTTTAAATGAAACGAGGCATTTCATCTTAGTCCTCACGGGTGACAACGCATCTGCATTTTGATTCGTAATCGAGGATAGATGTAGATGTCTGTGGGCCACAGCAACCACTTACCATCAGGTGAACTGTGTGCTCGTTTGTCACCACATCCTATATAAAAAAAGCGTCGATTTCTTATAATTTAATCGTGCAAGTTTTCGAATCATCATCATCATTACAGCTCTTCACAAGTCCACAACTGAACATCTTCCTCCAAAGAAAGCCGCAAAGCATGGTCCTGAGCCACTTTCCTTGTCATGAGTTTTTCATTTATGTTCTAAGTTATAATTAGTACCTATTATTAAGTCAGTGTTAATTATATTTATTGCTATTATTTTCAAAAAATAATTAAATTACCAATAAATTATAAGGTGTTTTTTATATACATCAAATGTCTGATAGAAAAGCAAGTACATGTTTTGCTAAACTTTAAAAACAAAACCCAATTTTAAAACATAGACTTATCGATTATAACTCCTTTAATAAAATAAGTTTAGTTCTAATTAATGGTATTTATTCCAGTTTCTGATGCATGTAAAGAATAAATAAAGCAAATCGTATATCTATTTACAGCCCATTAATATTCACTATTCTTTTATAATTATTTTATAAAAACCTTACCCTCCACACTTGGATTTTCTCCCGCTTTTTCATATTTTTACACACATTCATACAAGCAGATTTTCCCATACAAGCTGCGCTTAGTTTAGGACCCGCAGCTACCTGTGTTCTTTATACTGTCACTTATTGTTTATACTGTCACTTATTGTTAAGATAAATAAATAAGAAAATAGTGTAAATTAATATATTTCTAAGTCTCGCTGGATTTCTGGCTGTGGGTCCAAAGTATTTTCCGAACCAGTGGTAAAGGTTAAATGACTTTCAATAAGTGTTTTTGTAATCTATTCTATTCTACTCTGTTCTATTCCGTCCTGTCTTGTCTTGTCCTGTTCTGTCCTACCCTGCCCTGTTCCATCCCGTCTCATCTAGTCCCGCCCTGTCCCGTCGCGTGCCGACCAGTGACGTCCAGTCCTGTTTCGTCCCGTGCCAGGCGTCCCACTCCGTACTATCCCGTACCGTTCTGTTTTATTATAGACTATCCTATCCTATTCAAATGTTTTGCACTATTGATACTGCAACCCACCACTGATTGGTATATTTTACATCTGCCGTAATCGATATGGTTATAGCGCCATCTATTGGAAGCCATGAAATATTTATGGCATTTCCCATAGTTGCCTTTACAACACCCATCGGAAAAAAATGGAGTGATGGATTCCTTCAGACTGTACACCAGCACAGAGCAACGTTACTGCTATTTTATACAGTCACATTAAATTAAATCGTCTAAGATTGCTCACAATGACGAGGGCTAATAACCTTCCGGTCACCAGATGTCGCTAGTTGGCACTGAAGTGAAGTTCTTTGTTACACAGTGCAATTTAGTTGAGGAGTTAGTTATATGAGTTTTTACAGTATTACATTGAAACAAAATAAT